CGCTGGCAGCTATGGATTCGTGCGCGGCCTATGCATTCGGCGCACGGATCCATAGCTGCCAGCGCTGCATACTGTCGTAGGAATTTTCCGCGGTCGCGTGCGCCTTGCCGCGGAACTGCGCGCAATATCGCGCAGCACTTCGGATAAACACCTCCTTTCGGCAACGCTTCTCTAGTATCCCGTCTCATCTGGATTGCGCATATCGGTAACACGTGTTCGCAATTCTGACTACCAGTATGGCCGGCGGCACGGGATTGTAGTTAATATTGCTATTTTTAGTGCAAGTCGCGGAACCCTCTATAGTGAATATAGCACAAGTTCAAAGCCAAAGGAGAGTTTGACATAAGTCTATGGTACACTATCAAGTGCACTGGCCAACTGGCACATATGATTGGCACACTAAAATAACAACGGGTAATTTAGCGTGTGGCATAGCTGTGTACGTGCCTGGCTGCGGCGGCATTGATTGATGTACGGGGTGGGGGAGTGCACGATTGTTTAAGTCACGTGGGGGATGTTCATTACTAAAAATGTAGGGGGTGCATGGGCACCGCTGGGATGAGAGAGCGACAGCAAAACTCTTTCTTGGAATTGAGGAAAAAGCTGCAATCAGGAATGACACACAATGTTAATGAGCGTGCCGGCACGAAAAAATAATCGTTGTTTTAATTTCATGTTCATGAGACTGTAAATCTAACCTACACTAAACATAAACAAGTATAATACTGTTACATAGCTTTTAGAATATTGTATTATAAAAAAAATACTGTATTATATGATATATGATATATTTCAATATCTGGTGGCTGCGATCAATAACATTCAACCGATTATATCTTTGATCATCGATTGGGTGGGTGAAAATGATGATCGATGATAAATTTCCAACCGATTCCCATCACTAGTAACCACAGGGCTACTGTTCTGTGAATCTGTAAATATATATCAAATTATTCGTTACTGTCTTGCAGTATGTGATAGCAGTCAGAGTCCATCATCAAACCAGTGTAGCATCGGGGTCAGTTGCGTTCACACTGATGAAACTGAAAGGAAGGATTATGGTTCCTGTAACTGTAAGCAATGCCAAATGTTCCATGTTCATATTACATCAGTGTACCATACTCTCAAAACGTGTGTAAACCGTGGCCTGTTTAGTCTGATAAGCACTACTAATTTTTATTTACTTGTTGATGTGGTAATTTCTTAAATAGTTGAAGTTGGTTTGAACTTTTGAAGAATTGAACTTTGGTTCATGATCGAGGTTACTGCCATTGTGCATAGTTGTGAGTGTCTTTTATATCTTATTAAGTTCGTTGACACTTACAGGTAATGAGGTGATCAGCGAAGGCTCCGACAGAGAACATGTGCGCCAGATCGATTCCTTGCCAACGGAGGTGCTACTTAAAATCTTCTACTATCTGGATGCTAGGTTCCTATACTGTACACTCACACTTGTCTCAAGGTTAGTTTCAACTTTCCTTCCATAGTGTCTATAGTATCAATAAACCGTAGTAGTCACAGAAATAAAGCACTTGTGAAAACCCCTGAAATTTAATAGTCATTTGCATTATTTCATCAATGGTTTGTGAAATGGAACTGAGAAAAATTCCGCGGCTATCTATCATTATTATAGTTAAGATTATGCACACAAGTCTTGGGGTATTTCATAGCACATTAATATAGGCCAACCTTTTCAGATATTTTAATTATCTACTAAATGACGATTCATCATGGAAAATGCGAATTGCCAAGAGGTTTCCAAAAAAGTACCCACCTTTGAAAGGTATATATGTGACATCATAAACTATAGCTAGTCGTTTTTTTTGTTCGTGTGGACCACATACCTACTATATCATTTGTAAGCAGACCAAGCCATACTCAGGCTATGTACAGGCAATATTTATAGGTGTAGAGAGATTAGGGGCAGTTTAAAAGCTGTTTTTCTCTTCCTCTTTCTCTCTCTTTCTCTCTCTCTCTCTCTCTCTCTCTCTCTCTCTCTCTCTCTCTCTCTCTCTCTCTCTCTCTCTCTCCTTGTCTCTCTCCCTCTCTATCTCCATCCCTTCCTCCCTTCTTCTCTCACGCTCTCTTTCTCTCTCCCTTCTCTGCATCCCCTTCTCTAAAGACTAGACCCTCTATTTAGACTAGCTGTAATCTAAAATCAGTGTTTTCCTCTCTTTCTCTCTCTCACACACAGCTCCTCTGGGTTTCAACTGGAAGCTCGCCTGTGCAAAGAGAGAGTACCAGCACGAGCTGTGGAGCCATGGCGGCATGGAACGCTTCACTCTCACCGAGGGACACTATGCCTCTGTTGACGCGATCCATCTAATGAACGTGCGAACTCCTTACGATAGCTGATGACTCGATTTGCTTCACAACGAGTAGTGTAGTCTTCACAGTATGAGGTTTCCGAGTATTAACAGCATGACCCGAGCCTATTTTCAGCAGTTTTCTTAAAACCTACTGCTTTTTAGTAATAATATGACCTTGATGGTTTGTGTCAGCACTGTTGATCTTATCTTGGGAGATAATGGTTGCCGTGAGTGTTGCTGTCTTCATTCAGCTGTGCAGATCAAGTTAGCCAGCCAACACATTTTCTTATCTAGGTTATCTAACTTTATAGCTCATTATTGAGTTCATCAAAACCAACATGGGATAGTGCTGTGCATCTACATCCTCTATAGATGGTCAGGGGGACTGTTGTCAAAAAGAAAATTAGTCCTAATATTATTTATAACATAAACTGTGTCCTATAGACCGGACCTCTATACACTGCATATAGGAAACTGAGAAACTCGTAACTTTAGCATATTTCTGTCAACTGTCTATGAGAAAAAGTTAATGTCACGACTAATGTTGTGGCCAATTTTGTTTTTGGCAATGGGCCCAGGCCTCCAGTACACACTATAGGCACACACTGTATCACCTGTAGGTTGAATCACTGGTGTCATATATGAGTAGGTGAAGCAGGTGCTGATATGCACGTTCCACCCTGTTGTAGCGTGGCACCATGTGTTTGTCAGGGTCACGGGACAAACAGCTGACCATGTGGAATCTCCAGGGCTTGGACAGCAATAATCCACACTATGCTACTGAAGCCAAGGCAAAAAGTGTCATTGATGCACATAAGGTAAAGCTTAATCGTGTGTAATGTTTACACATAACTTCGAATTATACAAAATTCATTTTTTCGACAGGTCGATCACCTGCGTGATAATAATCACTGTTTCCATGTATCGTTAATTCGAGGAGTTACGGTTGGCGATTATTGTCACCTTTAATTTAGAAGTCAGTAATTGCCTCATTTGTCTGAAGTGAACGATAGGTAGATCTAGCCAATCAGCATTGTGATGAAGGCATTCTATAACGCTGTGTAGTAACGAAGTGATGGGCCGTACAGTCGGAAATTCGGCGGGCACACGCTTAATGCGCATACAAACTGGTCTACCTTGACCGAGCAAGCAGGAATACCCGGAATGAGACATGCCCATCGTATAGATCTAAGGTCAACGGCGGATCACCGAACGGTAATTTTTTAATATGGTCGGTGAATTTACGCGCCAGGGTTGGATCTGGTCGATCACGTCATGTGAGAACGTCGTCTGCACTGGATCGTGGGATAAGGACGTGAAGTTGTGGGATGCTGGAGAAAACCTGCGGGAGACGATGCGCCTTAGGTAACGATGCTCATATCTCCAACGCGCCACTTCTTCCTCTTCTCATGCCCTTCCCTCCTGCGGGTCTAGTGCTGTTGTCATTCACAGAGAAACAGTGAGCGTGTTTCAGGTGTGAGTGTCAGTCCGGTACCCAAGGGGGGTTCCAGGGGTTTCGGAACCCCCCATCCATCAAAAAATAAATATATGGTAAAAATATTAATGAAAATAATTTCAATTTTACATTCATGTATATTTATGTATAATGATAATAAATAATATAATATTAATAATATATTTTATCCAGAAGAAAACTGTTAACATCGCTTCTCGCCTTTGGCCCTCATAGTCACCTGCACACCTCTGATTTGGAACCCCACCTTTTGGCCAATCTTGGGTATAGGCCTGAGAGTTGCCATGGATTTGTGAAGATGGATAGATCGGTTTATTGTATAAAATCTTTGGCGAAATGGCATCGTAATGTAGTTAGACATTGTGAAACTGAAGTTGTTTATATCTACAGGAGAGGTTTTATGGTATACTAAGATTTTCGAAAGAGTTTGTAACAAGATAGTGTATAGTGTATAGGTTTCAAGCGAAGATGTTACATAAAACAGTGTTATGAGAAGGAATGTCTGCAAGAACGCTTTGCGTTGCGTGGGCAAACATGACGCAGGGTTTAGTTTGCAAGGTGTGGCAGCTAATCTTGCTCATTAACCACAGAAGTATTTTATTGTCGGTGGGACGATGTGTTCGGGACGGCTATGCCTTCATCTGTCTCATTCGCTGCCCCCAGCTGTATGTGAGTGTGTGCGTGCGTGCGTGCGTGCGTGCGTGCGTGCGTGCGTGCGTGCGTGCGTGCGTGCGTGATATTTATATATTATATACCTCTATAGAGGGTTCCGAGAATTTTCAAATTACCCACAATGCAACGCCGTCGGCCATGACGGTTCCAGAAACCAATTCAGGCATGGTACAAGTACATTGAGCAATGCACCTCTGCTTATTTTATTCGCCTATTAAGCAAATCCATCACAACGCCGCTCTCCTGCGGTGTTGTCAACTGCAGCAATCGGTATCAGAGAGAGCCACACAGCTTTTTCAGGCTGTCTAGCGTGATCACAACACAAGGTAAAGTGACGAGAGACTAGGGGGACCACAGACGCTTAGAGCATTTTCAATAAAAAAGCAATGCTGAATAAACACGAAATGTATTTACTACGAATGTCTTAATGTTTCTCTACTCTCTTTCGCCTAGTATTGCCGATAATTACCTGTAAATGCCGGTCAAATGCTCCTCTGCAACATACAGGTACACCGCACGCACGGCGCACGCCGCTACACATTTACACTTATATACATATATCGCCGGCATCCAGTAGGCAGCTGTTTGAGTGGGGGTGGTGATTTATCTTGCACGTGCAGCATACTCTACATAAAATAGCACCGAGGCAACATGTGAACAGAATTCACCAAGCCCGGCTTTACAATTACAGTGTGCTGACATGATGCCTGTCCCATATTCTCTCATTGTGACCCATACACGGATAGAGAGATGGTATAATCAGAGACTGGGACTGGGAGTGCATAACACGTGCTCGGATATCGTAGATGGGACTCTCACTGTTCACATGATAGATGTAGACTGATACACCACTAACCCAACCGCAGAACAGTCGATCGTGGGCATCCAGGCTTTTGTGGTTCTGAAAGTCCTTGAGAGTATAAAATGGTCTCGGCTAGAATGTTAGGTAGTCAATTCACGAGATCCAAATAAGTACGTGATGGGCACAAGTTGTGGTCCTCGCTCTATTCTCGTACGGGTGTCGATTCCCAATGCACACAATTTTCTCGAGATAGCGTGCTTTGGCTACGTTGTCTAGTGAATCCTAGTGAAGTACTTGTCCATACTACGTACACTTCAGACAGTTGGCAAATGTGCATACACCAGATGTTATAAAACGCTGCGTTTGATAGCTATATGCAGTAAAATCGGTGAAATTTCTGAACACTCGCGATGTAAACAAACTCAAGTCCATGAACATATTTGTTGCGTGCAATCTTGCGACGCTAATAAACCTGCATGCAAAGCTCTGCAAAACCGGACCTGTGTAATCTCAATGAACTCTAGCGGAGCACCCCAACCCACGCTGATAAACCTGCCTGCAACACCCTGTAAAACCGGGTCTGCACAATCATATCAAACTCTAGCACCCCAACACGCGCTGGTAAACTGTCTGCAAAACGGGATCCTACTTACTTGGCTAATATAGATTACTATAATACACATGCATATTTACAATATATCGAGATTAAATTTGCTCGACATCCTGGCAACCGATTTCGCGCAAGCGTCAGAACCCTTTAGGCAATTTCGCTTGCTTTTCCAACGCTCAGTATACGCCGTGCTTCAGGTTAGGTAAACGCTTTTCGCTCTCATCGCAGTTCTGCGGCATTGTCAGCGAGGATGCGACTACCCCAGTTATGTTGAAGACGGGCTAGAAAAGCTCCCAATTATGTCGTTCGCTACTAGCCCGCCTTCTTGCGTGTAATAAGGAGTTTTTGTTCACATTGTAACAATATATAGGCGTCTAATGCGTTGGTTTGACTGCTGAGCTAGAGGATACGATATATACGGGGCAACGAGCTGTAGGATACCATTGCTTACGATTTTTCGGTTCGGCGTTTGCTCGTCAGCATATTTGAAACTAGACTTTTGGTAAATTACACACGCTAGAATACTTTCTATACTATCAAGTACATGTTAAAATAATTACTAGTAATTGAACTTAAGTAGCTACACTAGTAGTAGTTACTTAACTAAGTTACCACACTACTGTACTATATATAGGTTACTACGCAGGACGGCAGGAGCTAATGTAATAGTAATAGTATTACTAATTACTAGTAACTATAGTAGACTACAGAACAATAATCTTAACCCAATACGCGCAAGAGGATTAGGTTACAACGCGAGTCCTATACTTTTGTGGCGGAGGAAATGCCCGGGATGAATCACTGCGGCAGGTTGGGCTGGTGTATTTTCAGAGACTAGAACTCCAAACTGGGTTTATCTGCAACACGAACCTTTCTCCCGCATATCTGGAACTTACTATGTATCGGCAATATCTCTTATAAACTATATAAGCCTGTTTACAGAAAATTCGAAGTGACTAGGCGCGAAATTACTGAGCGCACATTTCTTGTTGACCTGTGACTACTTTCGGTTTGAAAGCGCTGATTCACCGACGCAATCGGAATGGACGCGGCGTTTGCCGATGCGCTATGCGGGCATTGGAAATGCGTACGTCACAGTCAACAGAAATGGCCCGGGGCTCAGTAAATCGGCGCGCTCGTCACTATCGAAATTTTTGTAAGCAGGTTAATATTAGTTTAATACAGAGTATTGCGATACATAGTAAGTCTGCCAGATAGGCGACAATAAAGGTTTCGTGTGAGAATAAACCCAGTTGGAAGTTTTCTAGTCTCTGAAAATACACCAAGCAACACTGCCCTGATGATTCACTCGGCATTCCTCGCACAAAAGTATAGGCCGCGTTGTAAACCTATCTCTTGGGTTTGGGTTTACATTATTGTATCTATAGTACTACTAGTCACTAGTACTACTACTACTACTAGCTACGAAAGAAACGCTCTTGCTAGGGTTAGGAATAACCCTATACTAACACAGGCACTTGAAGCGTTTCAATAAGAATATAAGCAACTAAGAACGAAATCTAAAAAAAATAAATTATTTTTACTACCAAATTCTTAATGTTTCTAGTATAAGGCCTACTCTCTTCGAGAAGGTTGCGAGGTGGGCAAAGAGCTATAAGACTAGAACTCGCTCGGCACCTCGATTAGCTCATCGAGGACTAAGCTAAGCCGAGAGGTGGAGCGGAGCCATCTAATGGGCTCATAGGCAGGCGGGCAGCGCGCACTGCTTGCAAGCTGCCTGTACGAAGCCTCGCTCATTGCAAACGTTTGGCAAAAACGTTTCGCTAGCCGTTATGGGGCGGGCAACAAGAGGTCACGCAGAGCGCCGGTAGTGTTTCCTGATTCCCTTGACTATGCCATTTCCATTACTGGGGGCAAGTTCGCGAATGTCAGAATTTCCTCACAGTCTATTCTGTGAACTTCGCGTGACGCAGCAGCTCGGTTACGAACACATACTTCGGATTAGCAGTTTATAACAAGTGAAAACACTGTTTCACTGTTCTCAAATGTCTGCTCTCTGTGTCCCCTCACATAAAATTGCGGACTGTTCGCTGTCCGCTATGGATTCGTCGCGGCGCCTATGCATTCGGCGCAGCGGATCATACTTGCCCAGGCGGCTGCATACTGTCGTAGGAGAATTTCTGCGGGTCGCCGCTGCAGCAAGCACCACGCTTGCGCGAACTGCGCAGCAAGATCTGCCAGCATCTTACGGGATAAAACCACCTCACCTTTGCGCAACCGGCTTCTCTAGTATCCCGTCCATCTGATTGCGGCATATCGTAACACGTGTTCGGCAATTCTGAGAAAAACTACCAGTATGGGCCGGGCGGCACGGGAATTGTAGTTAATATTCTGCTGATTTTTAGTGTCAATCAGCGGAACCCTCTATGAGTGAATATAGACCACAAGTTCATAGCCACATGGAGAGTTTAGAAGCCATAAGTCTATGTAACATATCCGACGTAATTCAAGTTCACTGCAACTGGCCATATGATTGGCATCACTAAAATGAACAACGGGTATGTAGGCGTGTGGCATAGCTGTAGTACTGTGTCTTGGCTGGCGGTCGGCAGT